GGGCTGCCGGGGCGCAGGTGCCCGCAGGGCACCCGTGCGGTTTCCGAGCTGCTCCCGTTGGGCCCGTGCTGTGGGAGCCAGGGAGGCCCGGGCGGCCGCGATGCCCCCATCCTCCCACCCCCCACACCCCTTCATGGAGGGCCTGGCGGCCGCAGAGAAAGCAAAAGCAAAAGATTAAGCGCTCGAGGGAAGGCAAAGGCAGGAAGACTGCACGCCCTCCCCTCCCCTGAGCCCTTCGTCCTGGTGACACAGGGAGAAAAACTCATCTGGGGTGGGTGACCTCCAAAGGATACAGGGAACTCTAAACGACATAGGGAGAAACCATCTCTCGACCGGACCTGGACGAGTTCGTGTTCTCTAAAACCGAAGAATGAATTTGAGGAACAAACGGAGGTTATGAGCAGAATATATTTATTGAGGGAAAGAAAGCTCCTGTCCAAGAGAGGGACAGGAGGGGGGGCCCGAGCAGTTAGGTCCCGGAAGCTGTCTCTTCCAGGGACTTTTATAGAGTAAAACCGTGCGGTGAGGCGGATCTAAATTGGTAGAGAACAGGGGAACTTGCTTAGGTGGATGTGGGGTGGGACAAAACTATGTTCAACCAATGGAATTACAAGCACCATTGCTCAGGTAAAATCCTTTAAGTGCAGGACCAAATGGGGAAGCAAGTCTCATTGCAAGCGGACATGAATGTAGAACAGGACTTTATTAGGTAGCCATCCAGTAGTACTCGGATTAAGGAATATTCCCTCTCCCTCAGGGTGATGATCAATCTCGGATGCCAATCTTTAGGGAGGTCGGTATTTGTTTGATCTTTGGTCTTTAGGTCTGGCCCACAGCAGGAGCATCCATCCATCCCTCTCATAGTTGCAAAATATCTGGATTTTTGTGTTATCTCTTTTGAGGGCCTGGCCCTGCCTAACTGCCTAAAATGTTTTTATCTAACTCAGCTGCCTGCAACACTGACACAGTGCTGAGAAATGTGGGAAGAGGCAACCTAAGGATCCCTGCTTCACTGTAATCTCTCTGCCATCAGTGTCCGAAGTGGAGACTACAGTGTAGCATTGGGGTCGCACACTTTTTTGGGCCTAACTTCCTCAAAATCACGACTTGACTAAGTGTGCATCTGTGGAACTGCTAGCCTGGTGGCAAGGTGTTTCCGGTATGTCATACTTCTTCATTCTTTCTTCCTCTCTTTCGCTTTCCCATCCCCCTAACCCTTTTCCACTGTCCAAGGATCTACCCCCAGGCTTCCTGTTGCATATGCATCTTTCCTTTTGTTCTGGGATGTACTTCTGCTTTAGCTTCCTCCTATAGAAGAAAGCACGTGAGTTTTAAGTCTACGGGTCAAATTTATTTTCTATAACTCTGTGGTCTCCACACGCTTTAAAATTCTTCAGCAAAAACCCTGTTGAGTATTTTTAACCAACATTTCAAGCCTCCCTGTCCCCTGCATCCTGGATGTGGCGATGGCCTCTCTTGTGTGCACTACCCTGGGTGGAGGACCACAGCCCAGATGTGAGCTGCAAGCACAGGAGGTGTGAGCATGCACAATCAGAAAGAATGTCACAGTGTGTCGTGCTCGACCCAACATAAGAGTGCTCTGCACAAGAGGTTGTACTGTTGGAGTCAGTGCCTTGCCAGGTAAACTGTCTGCTGGCTACAGCCCATCTCTGGGGACAGCAAGGTCAGAGTGCAGGGGACAGAAGAGGGCTGGGTCCCTGGGTCATCTGTTCCTTTGAGGCATCAGTGACAGCTGTGAAGATCCTGCTCTCACTTGAACCTTTTTGCCCTTAGAGTTTCAGCCGAGCCATCTGCTTCACCTCAGCCACCATGAGCTGTCAGAAGTGCAGGTCCCAGGAACTTAACCAGGAGAACAATTTGAAAAGAGAGGACGTCTTGCCTCAGGTAAATCCATAGTGTTTTCAGGATGTCCTGAGGGTAGGCTTGGCCTTCCTTCTGCCCTCACTTTGTGTTGTTGCCCAGACTTTACCTTGTGTGTGGGGGGGGATTACAGAAGTTACTGTCTTTCTTGTCCCTTTTCTTCTTTCTGGGTTGGTCGGTGGCAGCAGAGAAGGGAGCTGTGATTTAAAAAAATAATAGGGGTCAGACCAAAAGAAGGTTTTAATAAAAACTATTGCATACATCTTGAAGAACAACAAAAATAAAATTTATTAGAGTTAACTGCAATAAAAAACCAGAAAGTACATTTCACAGCACGGAAACAGCATTCCAAGGACGGCAGTTACACTGGGTCATAGTAACCCAGGTTTGAATTACTTCGTGGTGTATGAAGCACTCCTGTGTACTCACTTATTCTAACCGTCAGCGCGTTAGGCAGGCACACAGGTCGTACCACCACCTTGCTGATGAAGAGCACGGGGCGGTGCAGCCAGGGCTCCGACGCTGGAGGGGAGACGTGGGCTTGAGGCTCAGGGGTGTGACCACCGCAGCGTCCAACCTCAGGGCTCCACCGCAGCACCAGACCATCGAGTCCTTTCCTGAGGCTAAAATGATCCTTAATAGACCAGGAAGGAGGCTGAGAAATGACTGGCACCTGACAGGGCATCATCAGTGCTTTTAACCTGTCTTCCTTCCTTCTGGTTCTAGAACATCTGAGTGTCTAGAACATCCAAGACAGGCCTTGGCCTGCTCGTCTCGGGCCTGCCGCTCCATGACTGTGAGCCAGCAGCTGCCTCCAGGTCCCCTCTTTCCCTGCCTTTCCCCAGGACTCCACCCAGCAGTGGGAGTCCACTGCAGTGTCCCTAGGTGTGCAGACAGGGATGCATGGGCAGCCAGCATGGGCTGAAAGAAGCCTTGCGAGTGTGCACGTGGGGCGAGAGCACATTTATTAATCCTGAATGCGAATATTATTTATTTTAATCTTACATTTTTATGTATTTAGTGCAGGATCTACAGGGTCTCAGTACACAGATCAGACTCATAGTGATCCTCCTTTTTTCAGCCTTCTAAGCGCTGGGATTACAGACACACATGCCACCATGCCCAAATTCAATCTCAGTCTCACTGCGTCCCAGAGGCGGGGCCTACAGTGTATGCTGAGGATCAAACCCAGAGTATTAGTATTATTACAAAAAAAGAAAAACTCGGCCTCGAAGGTGACCGTCAGGGGCTGACCTCTGCCACACAGCGATGTCAGGGCTGATCTCACAAGCAGCCCTGGCCTTGAGATTCTCCTTTCAGGCAAATGCCAAGGGCAGCTCCCAGGCTCAGGCCTGCTGGCGCTCTGGCCACGGGCAGTGTGCATCCGGGAAGGGTGCACTGCAGCCCTGGGACTGGGAGGGGCTTAATCACTCATTATATTTTTTGATATTAAGTGTCATTATTCAGGTCTTCCTCCTCCCCCACCCTGACCCACAAGACAAAAATCTGATAAAAATTGGTGCCTTAAATGCAAAATTGAAGAAAAAAAATGTAGGGTCTAATGGAAAAATTTTAGGCTAAGTACAGGAGGATTGACATTTACTTTATTTGTTGGTTATTGTGTGATCTTCAAAAAGTCGCTGGAGAAGTCATTGCTGTGCCTCACTCGGCTTCTCCAGTGGGGGCTGTGTGTGCTCTCACTGCCTGGGGAAGGAAGGCCGAGGGGTGAAGTGACGAAGCAGGGGAGGCTCAGGCTTCTGCACAGTGGGTGACTGGTGAATCAAGGGGTTCACTCTTGGGGACAGTTACCACTTTCTGACCAACTAGTCAAATAATGATAGTTTTGTCTAATATCTAAGGCCTGACAATGAGCGAGGGTAGCCTATTCTTACTGAGTTTGATGTTCTAAGAAGAAAAATTTCAGTGCAGTGTGTCAGCATGTTTGGCAAATACAAACATTGTGTAGCTGCAAATAGTAGACAGGACCACAGGACCTTGCACATGCCAAGGAAGCACTTATTCCACTGAGCCTTCTCCCTGGCCCAAGTTTGTAGGGTTTCAAGCATCAGGGAGAAAAGGTGTTTCTTCCCTAATGTTTGTCAGAAAAATTCAGCACTGTGTAGCATTTATTTGACTGATGTGACAGGAAACTCAGCTTATATTTTGAATCACAAATTAAACTCTATCTATCTTCCTGTCTTGGATTTGGTGCTAGCTTTCCCATATTATCTTTAGAAGTTTCTAGTTAAAAAGAAAAAAGGAAGACTATGTTTGTGTTCACCATTTGAAAACATGTGATGCTCATTTTTAGGTCGGAAAAGCACCACAGAATGCTACCAATAGTTCTCAAAAGAAGACGGAATCAAAGAAAAGGCAAAAGGATATAACTAATACTCAGGATCAAGAATGCCATTTTCCTAAGAAAATTAGAGAAGGCCAGAGCATGCATCAAAATAAGCTCATTAATGTTATCTTGGATGTGAACCACAGAAAAAATGAAAACATGAAGCCTGTGCTCCATCACAGTGATCAGGTCAGCTTAAAGGAGGTGCTCAGCACCCTCAAAGCTGTCAGAGAAGAGGCGAAGTCTCAGGCAGGCAAGGAGATGCTGGTGTGTGGCACGCAGGGAGTTGAAGGCTTCCTAAACCCCAGGATGCCCCTCAGTTGTCTTCCTAAGGAGAGCACTGTGAAAATTACTTTCTCCAACCATGTAAGTGGACAGGAAAATCAAGTGCTTAGCCAGCAGGACAGGATGTCCACTGACTGTGTCAAATTTTATATTCACGCAATAGGGAAGACAAGAGAAGTGATTATTAAGTGCAGGGAACTTCACAAAGAAGGAAACATGCTCTGTGTCTTTGGTTTCAAAGGAGAAACCATCAAGGACGCTGTGTGCAGGGACGGCAGGTTCCTTCCTCTCCTGGAGAACAGCTCCTGGAGGCTCGTCTACAACCTGGACTCCATCATAGAAAGCACCCAGCTGGTGGACCAGCTCGAGGGAAAGCTCTTCCAGGTTGAAGTTGAAAACAGGAGCGGCGTGAGCGTGGCAGCCACACCCTCAGCCACCTGGAATTCTGAATCAGAGAAAAGCAGTCTCCGTGTGTTGAAAGAATACATTGTGGAAGAGTATCCCAGTTTGAAAAGAGAAAGGGAAAATTTCAGAGAAAACCTCGAGGAAGAAATGAAAACAACAAAGAAAAGCAAATCTGCACTAGTGACACTGCACAGAACAAACTTCAGGAAACAGACAAACAGTTCCTTCCTAATTAAAACACACAAGCTCCTCTCACGCGTCAGCGAGTCTGTGGGACACTTACGCTGGGACAATAATGGAAACGTGGGCAGCGCTACCTGCTTTGTCTTCGCACAGTCATTCGTTTTCACTTGCCAGCACGTGATCAGGGACATGGTGGGGCCTGGAGTAGAGCCACGTTGGTGGGCAGATGTCATTGGCCGCTGTGCGTGGGTGACATTCAGTTATGAAGAGTTTGAAACAAAAGACCACGACCGCTTTGACTTTGAACCTTGGTTTGAGATAAGTGATACAACCCTCGACTACGCTGTTCTGAAACTGAAGGAAAATGGGGGAGAAGCACCTCCAGGGCTCTACAACGGAACCGCCCCTCCACCACCTAATGGGTTGGTTTATATCGTTGGCCATCCTGAAGGAGAAAGTAAGTGCACTGACCGCTGTGTTGTAATTCCTCAGAGTGCACGAGGTGAGGCAGGTCAGAGAAATGAGGAAGGATCCGTGCCTGAGCCTGACTGCGGGCCTAGCTTCGTCCACATGTACTCTCAAAACAGTTTCCAGGAGGATCTTCACAACCCTGATGTTGGTACCTGTGACACCTCTTTTTATCAAGGTTTTTCTGGCTCACCAGTGTTTGATTCCAACGGCTCTTTGGTGGCCATGCATACTGCTGGCTTCTTTGATCAGCACCGTCTCATTGAGTTTGGCTCTGCCATGCGGTCCATCCTCTCTCACATTAAGCACAATTACAAAGAGTGGTATGAACAAGTGTGTGCGCATCAGCAGGAAGTAGAAATGTTGAGTCAAGAGTAGCGAGGACCCATGAGCACTTGCCTCTGTGGTTGCTGTCAGAGCAAGCATGATGGTTTTCTGACTTCCAAAGTGGTCAGTTGGTGTTGGGGAGATACCGTAGTAGAATAAGCAGTTGCATGGCAAGTTCAATCCCCAGTTCCACAAAAAAAGAAAAGAAAAAAAAAAATCACAAAGTGGTCAGCTTCAGAAAAACTAAAACAGTTGATAATGTAGGCCAACCATTTCTATAAACCCATGAAGAAATCAGTCCTGCTCTAACCTGAAGCCTTAATTGTCAATTGATAACTGAGGTCCTTGTCCTCTTTCTAACTGTCAAAGGACGATAGCTCATCAAACGCAATTTATCTTGCTTTGTCTCCTTAAATCAGTCAGAGGGAAGTGTTTGGTGCCCTGGTGAGACAGGATCAGTGCCCCACTTTGGGCTGGAGCAGTCACAAGAACAGAGCCCGAGATCCCTGCTGGACCCTTCAAGAATAAGGAATCACAGCCCTGGGATGGGGACCCAGACAGAAGGGAAGAAATAAGGAAGGCAGGAAGGAGACGAAGAAAACCAGACTTTATAAGTTGTACTTTTAAGAATAATGTGACTTCAAGACACAGAGCCACCAAAGGTTACCCATGTCTGCGCACCCCAGAGGCTTCTCTGGGCCTTTTCCAGGACTGTCATACCACAAAGCCCTTGAAGGTACTCTAGGTCTACAGATCAGCCAAACTGGTAAAGTCAAAGGTAGGGACCTGACCTGAAGAGAAATAGATTCAAATGCTTTAAAGAATGTTTTCAGACAATATATTTTGCCTTTAAAAACTCTAGTGTAGAGGGCCCTGTGCATTTCTCCTGTAAAATGCGTCCCTCTGGTAGCTGTGCTGTTACTTGTCTCCTGAAAATAGGGTCTATCAATTCACATTCCCACCAGCAGTGGAGGAGGGTTCCTTTTTCCACAGAGCCCCTCCAACATTTGTAGTTGATTGACTTCTTTATGATAGCCATTCTTTCTGGGGTGAGATGGAATCTCAGTGGTGTTTTAATTCGCATTTCACGGATGGCTAGTGATAGGGAGCATTTTTTCATACATTTATTTGCTTCTATAATTTTGTCCACTGAGAAGTGTGTGTTCATCTCGGATGCCCATTTCTGGGCCCTAATTTTGGGGCCCTAATGATTTTCAATTCTGTATAAATTCTGAGAGCAGACCTTGAGTGCTTATTAGTTAAGGTTTTTTCCAAATTTGTGGGATGTCTTTTCACTTCATTGTTAATTTGTTTTGACATGCAAAAACTTCACAAAAGGAGAGGTCCCAGTAGTTAGTTTTTCCAAGTATTATCCATGAGATTTGATTTTTGTTCATGAACTGTTTGCCTAACCCTATGTCTTCAAGAGTTCCTCCTACTTTCTCTTCTAGGAGATCTAGTGTTTCTGTTTTAATGTTTAAACCTTTAATCCATTTTAACTTTAGCTTAGTGCATGGTAATAGACCTGGGTCAAGTTTGAGTTTTCGGCATATAGAGAGCCAGTTTTTCCAGCAGCATTTGTTAAAGAGGCTATCTTTCTTCCAGTGAGCATGTTTGGCCCCTTTGTCAAAGATCAGGTGGCTGAGTGTGTTCCTAGAGGCCTCTGCATCTTCTAATCTATTTCATTAATCCTCAGGTCTATTTTGTTGCCAGAACCAGGCTGATTTTATCACAGTAGCTTTGTAGTATAATTTGAAGTCAGGAATTGCAATGCCTCCTGCCTTGTCTTTGTTGCCCAGGATTGCCTTTGCTATTCTCAGTCTTTTCTCATTCCAAATAAATTTTAGGAACCATTTATCGAGATCTGTGAGGTATGTTGGTGGTAGTTTGATAGAGATTGCATTAAAGCTATATTACAATTTTGGGAGTATGACCATCTTCACAATGTTTCTTCCTATCCAGGAGCAGAGAGTATCTTTCCATTTTCTGAAATCCTCTACAATCTTTTTTTCCAGAGTACTGTAATTTTCCTTGAAAAGATCTTGGACTTCTTTAGGTAGATGAATTCCGAGGTATTTCATTTCCTTGGTGCTATTGTAAAAATTATTGTTTCTCTAACTTCCTTCTTAGTGTGTTTGTTATCTGTGTAGAGGAATGCTATTGACTTTTGGGTACTGACTTTGTATCCTGCTATGCTACTGAGTTTATATATTAATTCTAGTAGCTTCTTGGTGGAGATTCACAAATTCTACTGCAAAAAACATGTAAATCTTCCCCGCTTTATAGGGTCAGACTTTGTTTTGAGACCTCACACTCTATTTCTTTGAGTGTGTACTTTAAAATTCTGCCTAATAATCCCCTTCTGTTTCTTTCTAAAAATTAAGCATAACAACTCTATGAAGTGAGTTATTGCCCCACTCACATGAAGCAGCAGGAGGTGTGCTAAGATGACCAGGTGTGTGACAGTGACCATCATGTAACCCAATGTTTTCATCTTCAGTTTCTTCTCCTACATTTACTTCTTTCAGAGAAGCAACTGAGATTTGTTCATTTATTCCTAGTATCTGACATGGGGAAGGTAAGTGCTTACGAAATGGTTTGGGCTGACCAGAAGGAAAACTGGGAGCTGTAGTTCAGGTCACTGAAGGAACCAAATGGCCGTTCAGAAGTGATCACAAAGTCCTTTAGGGTTTCCCTACTCCTCCATTTACTTAATGTGTCAGAATACAAGTGTCCTAAAAGTCCTCTTCCTGTGCTTCTGAGGACAAGGAAGATGCCTGTAAAATCTCAGCTGTATTCAAAGTTCCTGTGTTTCTTCCTTGTTTCCTTTTCTGGGTTCCAAAATCACAGGCAACATTCATAGGACACGTTGCTGTCCTTCCTCCTCAGGCTCCTTTTGGCTAGGGCAGTTTCTCAGCTGTCTCGTTTTCGATGACCTTGGTGGCTGGCAAGACCAGTATTGGCATCTTGTAGGATGCCTCCTTTGCTGGACCTGGTCAGAGGCTTTGCTGATGGTTGGACTTGGCTGTGGGTTCTGGGAGGAAGATCTCAAGGTGCAACACCATGTGGGCCATGTCCCCTCAAGGCTCAGACTGTGAACAGGGCTCATGACCACGGGGGTGGCCTTGACCACCGACTGCTGTGGTGTTTGTCAAACTCCACCCAGAGTCTCTCCAGCTCCTACCCTCCCATTGTTCACGACCTCTGCACTCATCCAAACATCCTTCCCACACTGTGATTCTACCATGGAGCGGAATGGCCAGTCCTAAGATTTTTAAGTAAAAAGATGTTCATTTCCATCTCTTTCTCTTCTCATTGAAGGTATGCTCTCCACACTGAAGATTCTCAGTTTAAGCAGAGCACAGGAGTAGTTGTGCATATACTAACTTGCATTATTCTATTAACGTGTGTATATATTAACTGGCATATATACCTATAGCTTTGCAGAGATAACCCTCTGTGTCTACAATAAGTTCAGGCATCCTCGCTGATGTCCCCAACTCTAGTCCATAGCTGCACAGACCATTGAGCTCCCCGCCAACTCATCTGTAAATCTGCACTCCAAATGTAGGAGACATGGCTGCTCTTCCTCAGTCATTTGTTCAGTTCTTTAATACCTATGTAGTAGGCAAAAAATATTTAGGGGCTGCTGAGATAGCTCAGCAGTCTAAAGCACCTGCATAGACAAGCTTAGGCAAGCCTGGGATCCCCGACACCACATGCTGTGCCTGCCCCAAACCCAGGGCAGGCTGAGCTAGCCACACACAAAAAAAATCTGTTAACCTGTATCCAGATGGTAAATAACTCTTTTTTTCTTTTTAATATAGGGTCTGAATATACACTTCCTGAACAACTTGAGCTCACTTTGTAGCCTGCCCATCCCAGAACTCAGGGATCCTCCTGCTTCAGCATCCCAAGGCTGGATTACAGGCAAACACCACCATGCCAGGCAAAATACCTTTTTTCAGTCATCTGGAATACAAGTGCTCATGTGCAATTTCTTTTTGTCTTTAAGACTATACACTCTATTTTTTCCCAAGTTACTTAGGTCTGGACCGTTTCCCTTCAGTGAGACTGTTTCACAGATTTTAAAACAGAATCATGCATGTAATATATTTGGATTTGCTTCTTCCAGCCTTCCTTTCTTCCTTGCTTCTTTCCTTTGATGCATTATGCTCCTAGATGATGTCTTAAATTTGTGTACGTCATATCCGCTCCATGTGCTGTAAGTCTGGGGAGTTAGCCAGCGCGGAACATGCCCCTCCCATCTCAGCATCGTGCAGAGCAGTTTCTCCACCCTGCAATCCCGTACACTTCATCTGCTCCTCTCTTGCCCTTCTCCCTAACCCTCGCAGAGGCTGATCTTTGTATTACTTTTATGCCTTTAGCTTTGCAAGAACGCCACAGAATTATAGTCACACGGCATTACTCCTGATGTCTAGGTGTCCTCCAAAAGCCTCATGAACTCCTAGATGGGATTTTTGGAAGGTGGTTGAATCACGGGTGTGCAATATTGGGACTGAAGGTGTGCACTTTGAATTAGTCCACCATTGGATTTTCCTGCTTGTGGGTGCGACTGAATGGATTTACTGAGAAGAGCTTCCCCTCCCTAGCGTAGGCCCACTAACCACGGGCTTGTATGCTGCATTCACTAGAAGGGAAAGGGAGGCTCACTGCGGCTGCTCCCTGCAGCCCTTCCAGGGACCGCTTCTCCTCCACACTGCCCCTCGGCCACGCTGCCCTGCCATGAAGCCAGTCGACCAGGCACTGACACCTCTCCCAGCTGTGGCCTGCAGTGGACCTTCGTGGCTTCAACTTCACGTGTGAGGGGTTTTGTCTGAGCAATGAGAAAAGTGACTGCAGCCCAGAGTACACAGTCTCCTCAGCCTGGCTAGTGTGTGGTTCCAGTTTCTGTACATTTCTTGTGGCTTGACAGCTCATTTGTTTCCCGTGCTGAGTGATACCCCGCTGCACAGTAGCACTGTTCCTATACTCAGTCCCCTTCTGAATGAGATCTCCGTTGCTTCTAATGTCTAGTGCTTATGAATAAAATTGTTACAAGACCTTGTGTTCTGCTTTGTGTGTGACCTAAGTTTTTAGTTTGGTTGGACAAATACCAAAGAGTGGAACTGATTCACTGAGGGGAAAGAGAATATTTGTCTTTCTAAGAATCTGCCACCTGCATTCCAAGGTAGCTGT